AACAATTATAATAAAAGGTATGAACATCATATCTGGACGATTTAAATTCACTTCTGCCACAAAATGTCCCAAATACCTAATTCCTATCATTCTTTAAATTATGAGATTGTTCTTAGAAAAAAATATAGTATAGTTGTATTAAACAGACAGTTGCAACTCAAAAAATTTTTTAAGTTACTAAGAGCTGGGTACCAGTGGCTCACACCTGTAATCTTTGCTATTCAGGAGGCTGAGATCAGAGGTTTGCAATTCAAAGCCAGCTCAGACAGGAAAGTGTGTAATACTCATCTCCAATTAACCACCAGAAGTGGCTCAAGGAGTAGAGTAGAGCACTAGCTCTGTGTACAAAAGCTCAAGGACAGCATCCAGACCCTGAGTTCAAGCCCTGGGACCAGCATACACACAAAAAAATTACAAAGAATCTCTTATATACTGGAGTTTCAAAGCATAAATCTCAGAAGGTGGAAGGTATACGACATGGGCTCAAACCTCAGACACAATCTCAGACACACACCATTCAAACTGTGACTCCATCTCTGATTTTACTGGTTACTTTGGAGATGGAGCCTCACAGACTTTTCTGCCAGGGGATGGCTTTAAACCTCAATCCTCTGGATCTCAATAGGTGACCTGCCAATGCCCAGACTGTATTTACCAATTTAATTCTGACTCTAAGCCTTAAACTCAATTTGAATTATATTATTGTGCTTTGGATTTAAGAAACTAATAAAACTTCAAAATAATGTTTCTGAAACCTATGTGTAAAACAACATAAGGTAAAAATATCCAGGTATTTCCTGAAATCAAACTTCAAATTTCTATGTTTTTATTTTTCATAATATGTAACTAAGAAAAAAAAGATTAAACAAAGTCTGATGGTGATTTTTAATTTTTTTCTTTTTAAAAGCATCTAGCAGGGTCCCAGTGGCTCATGCCTGTAATCCTAGCAACTTAGGAGCCTGAGATTTAAGGATCCTGGTTCAAAGCCACCCCGGGCAGAAAAATCTGTGACTTTTATCTCCAATTAATCACCAGAAAGTGGCTCAAAGTGTTAGAGCACTGACCTTGAGCAGAAGAGCTAAGGGAAAGCACCCAGGCCCCGAGTTCAACCCCCATGACAGGCCAACAACAACAAAATCCACAATTTTGACTTAGTGAGTGAGAAAAGTCAGAAAACTTGGGAGAGACCATGTTCTGAAAAGATATGGCAGGGCAGCTAAAGAGCAAAGAGAAGCAAAGGAACCAGAGAAAAGCGGGGGGGGGGGTAGTAAGCAACAAAAAATCTCTGCATCTAATTTGACACAACTTAGAAGGGAAAGGGAAAACAGGTAGGACAAGTACCCTGGTGAGAGACCCACATTTCCAAGTGTAAATAAGCCCATACCTCCATAAGCCTTAAATCCAGCAGAGAGGTTTGGTGAGAAATACCGCTCTGGTGCGCAGGAGGCACTCTGCATAAATAAAATACAGCAATGAAGCCATAGCAGGAGCTCCTATACATCTTGACTCACACACTGGGTGGATGAGGACGTATACACAAGCCGCCAGCTGGGAGAACACACTACTTCTTGCTGGTTTATTTGTTTTGCTTTTCCTTTCTACCTCCATTGCTCTCCCAATGTCCACCAAGACTCATTGTGGATCCAGAAAATCAGTGGGAATTTAAACAGCTTCTCAAACACTGGGCTCCTAAGTAGAGGAGGTATATGACTAAAGGAAGGCTTAGCCACTACTTGCTGGAAGCGGCTCTGCCTGAAAGGAGCCCCACACTGATAGCTGCCATCACAGAAAGGGCCCATCCAAATAGAAAAAGGTTAGTGACAGAAGTTCCATCTGCTCCACCTTCTGAAGCTACCTGATGCCATCCAGATGCAGACCCACCCATGGAGAAATTTCCCTGTCTCTAGGAAAAACTGCTAGTTAAGAAATATGCTGGCTGGGCTGTTCACAATACTCATCCAAGACAGCCTCACTGGCAGAGCAAGGAGTACCTGCCCACCAGAAAAATGCAGAATTACAAAACAAACAAACAACAACAACAACAAAAAACACTACCTACTTCACTCCTGAGCACTAAGGATCATAACCACCTATTAGCTTCACCTGACAGAAGCCAACCTAGATGCCCAGTCTATACCTAGAGATGTTCTGCAGGCTGCTGCTCAGAGTAACTCACTATTAAACTTAGGAAAACACTGCTGGATCTCTAAGGACTACAGACTGGAGAACACCAGACACTTGGAACAGAGCACAGCTTATATCTACACTTCTCAGAAGAAACAGACTGGTTCATATTGTTTTTGTTTCCCAAACTCTTCTGTATTTCTCCATAAACAGTGTGCTCTGATACTACTTCCTATACCATCGTTACTCTCTTCCTATTTTTCTACCTCCTTTTCTCACCACGTCCCTTATATTATTTACTTTTTTCTTTTATTTGGTCAGTTGTGGGGCTTAAATTCAGGACTTGGGTGCAGTCTCTGAGTATTTTCGCTCAAGGCTAGGGGCTCTACCACTTCAAGCCAGAGTGTCACTTCCAGTTTTCTGCTTGTTAATTGGAGATTAATAGTCGCATGGACTTTATTGCCCAGGCTGCCTTTGAACCAAATAGCTAGAATTATAGGCATGAGCCACTAGCTACATTATTTACTTTTTAATATCTGCATTTTTAACTACTGTTAAACTCCTACTTTATCCCTAAGAACTCAAGTTCTGTGCACTGTAACTCTAATGAGGAGGTAGCTAAGGCTTCCAATCATGTCTTACATTAATTTAAATAGTTTATGGTTGAATTATTGATATTATTACAATAGTCTTTCTCTCTCATCTGAGAGGAAGTAAAAGCTGTCTTTAGTAAGATAGTACCTATCCATAAGATTTTCGTTGTTCCCTAAATCTTCCTAGAGCTAGGGAATATCCTTCTTTTATTTTTTTGGGGGGGAGGGGGAGGGGGAGGGAGAGAGGGGAGGAGAAAGGAGAGGGAGGAGTCATGGGGCTCAACTTGGGGCCTAGATGCTGTCCCTGACCATTTTTCTGCTCAAGGCTAGTACTGTACCACTTTGAGCCACAGCTCCACTTCCAGTTTTCTGGTGGTTAATTGGAGATGAGTTTCAAGGACTTTCCTGCCCAGGCTGGCTTCAAATCATGATCCTCAGAGCTCAACCTCCAGAGTAGTTAGGATTATAGGCATGAGCCAGCAGAACCAGACTGGTACAATACTTCCTTAGTTGCATAAGATCAGAACTAATCTCCCCCTAACTTGATAAGACTAGCAAGATGCCAATCTGACTGCTTCTAACTGGTTGTCACAGGATAATCATTAAATAAACAACTATGAAATATTAAATAAATCTCTTGTACTATAGCTTTGCAAGGTGACTACATTAAGAATGGGATGCCAATTAGTTCATAAACTAGATAAATTAGAATGATGATGTATAAGTCATCTGACTCTGGTAACACAAATGCTAAAATGCAGTATTATATCTAAAGAATAGATATTCTGTTTCGTCATTTAGGAAAGGTACTCAAAAGTGACAAATAGATGAAAACTGTTAATCAAATTATTACTTCAATCTAATGTGTAAAAATAAAGAGAATATAATTCTAATAAAAAATAGGCTCCTATAGGTTATACACCCCAAAATACGATGATAGTTATGGATAAGCATTGATATTAACAATAGTCCTTGGAAAATGTTTTGATTTTATTTAAAGTGTTGGCAAACATTGTACTTCTTTTTTAAAAAAAGAGAAAATTCTATATTATATGAAGTTTTATAAAGTATAGAAATTGATTTGCTAGCAGGACAACATAGATGACATCACATTTATTAAACTGTAGAATTACTGCATGGTGCAACATATTTTGTTACTTCATCCTGGGGTTCAAAAGAACTTTGATCAAGATCAAGGTAATTAAAAGTTACTTTTGAGTCAGGCACCAGTGGTTCATGCCTGTAACCCTAGATACTCATTAGCTCAGATTACTTTTGGTGAGATGGTAAGATTTTCATGAACCTCATTACAAGGTTTCCTGAAAACTTAAGTTTTCTTTTCTTTCTTTCTTTTTTCTTTTTTTTTGGGGGGGAGGGTGTGTCCAGTCGCGGGGCCTGAACTCTGGGCCTGGGTGCTGTCCCTCAGCTCTTCAGCTCAAGGCTAGCGCTCTACCACTTGAGCCACAGCGCCACTTCCGGCTTTT